CCACTGCCCTCCTCCAGCTTGTGGCCACTGTGGGTGTTATTAGCGTTTTGCCAACACCTGCTTGCCCCGACCTGTAGTGCTTGGGGCAGTGGACAAACACGGAGCATGTCCTTAAGTTTAATAACTTAAACTCTGAAGCAGTCATTCGTACATATATGCACTGTACGTGCATGTGCAGGGGTAACGAGGGGATGCTCGTGGTGCTCATGGTCCTTGTCTATCTCTTCCCCAGAAATTGGCCGCCGAATGCCAGAGCGCTGGCTACGCCGGCACCCTCATCCCGTACAAGTGCGACCTCTCCAACGAAGAGGAGATCCTGTCCATGTTCTCCGCCATCAAGACCCTTCACCAGGGGGTCGACGTGTGCATCAACAACGCGGGGCTGGCGCGCCCGGAGCCGCTGCTCTCGGGGAGCACGGAGGGCTGGCGGACCATGATAGACGTGAGTAGCGCTGCTCCGCTCGCCGCCGCGGCCACGCGTTTGGGACCCCGGAATTACGGCTCTCTGTGGCAATTGGAAATGTTTTTCACCCTTTTTATCTTTTTTTTTTTTTTTTTTCCTCCGAACATTTTCAGCATCAAGGAGAGCCTGCCCATTGGCTTCCTGCTGCACTGCTCAGCACTGCTGAGCCAAATGCCGTAACCTTAGGGTATGAAAATGTGCATCACTTTCAGTGGTGTGTTTCATTTCATTCACTGACTTTCTAAAAGGAAAAGAGACTCATTTTTTATTAAATAAAATGGGAAATTCAGTGCCAAGCACTGGCTTTTGTATCTAATCCTGTTAAGGAATTACAGCAGTTGGCTGTAAAATTTCTTTTTCGCTTCGGAAGCTGTAATGCTTTTGTTTTTACTGCTTCATTTTCTGCCCATAATCTGGTTAGAGCTGCCTGTGGATGCGACAGTTTCTTAGGCCACACCAGGAGCATGTGGCTGGATCCTGGTGTTTACAAGCAGCATTCCCACCCTGGGGCTGCTCGGAGTGACGGGGTCAGCCTGGATCTCGCAGCCAGTTGGGGTCTATCCGGAATCATTCCAGAGGCTGCATAAAGCAAAGCAGGGAGGCACAAGTGCACTGAGGCCAAGGTGAGAGCCACCTTATCTGGGCTCCTTAAGGACTTGTTAGCGTTTGCGTGGCTTTGCTGGCTGCTGTGGCTGCAGCCGGGTCCTGCTCTGCCCAGCCCTGGGCTCTTGGGGGTTGTCCAGCCTGGGTCACTGCACCCAGGCGTCTCTCCGAGCTCGGTTGCCATGGAAGCTTTATGGAAAATCCAGCGTGGTGTTGCCCACCGGCGCCGTGTGCGGGATCTGCCCTGACAGCTCCGCTGGCCTTGGCACGCCAGGCCCTGGAAAACGCTTCCCGGCACCGTGTCCTCCTCGTGCTGAGGCAGGGGAGGTTGCTGCTGGCTCCGGCAGAGCTGAGCAGGGACAGGGAAGGCTCCTTGCACAGCTGTCATGGAGCTGCACCGCTTGCTGTGGGATGCAGCTGGGCTGTCTCCGTGTGCTGCCAGGCTGCAAGACAGGGAAACTTCTAAACAGCCATTGAGCTATTGATTTAGAAGGCATTTAGGGCCCTAAATTAAAGGGGTTTTTTATTATTTTTGGTAAATTGATTTGTTTCATTCATTTTTTATGAGGCTTGAGGATGTCTGTCATCTTCCAGACTTCCCTCTCTGTATACCCATTCCACGAAACCTCTTGCTCTACATCTTCCAGTCAAAGTAGTGTTAACACTTACTTATTAAAGCACTTCTTCTTTTTTATCCTTATCATCTGGCGTTTTTATTCCCAAGGGGGAATCCGTAGGCAGTTTTTCTCCCCGCGCTGCTGCAGGCTCAGCTTCAGACTCGCCTCTCTGTGGCTTTCTGAGCGTGCCAAGCACAGGGCCACCAGCCCACACATCCCTGTCCTGGTTTGTGTCCGCCCGCGCGCGAGGCCGTGCTCCGCGTGTGGCTGGAGCAAAGTCCTCCGGCCGGCGCGGGGTGCCGTGCACACACGGGCTCTGGGGTGGGAGCAGCTCCTTCGTGTTTTACCTCCTTTACAGCCGGGAATTCCAGCTGGACTCTCCCTTTGCTCCGTTCCACGTGCAGAGGGCTGGCACCCATCCTCTCCCGCTGGTAGAGTAACTGGCTTCGAGTCTTCTCCCTGTTAGTCTTTAGCCAGTGAGGCTTTTTGCACATATGACGTCTAAAAGCAAGAAGAATAAATGTGTTTTTTGTAACTTGGCTTCTAATGCATTCTTGTAAGTTAGGATACTCCTTGTGATGCCTTAGGAAAGTCTGGTTTGGGGAAGAGAAACGCCTTCAAAGAAAAGGTTCCTTTGTTTTCCCAAGCTGGCAAATAAAAAAGTCCCCTTTTTGAGTAAATTTATTCCTACTGCACCCGTATGCAGTCGCAGACCTGTGTTGTGCAACATGCTCTGCAAACACAGCACGTGGATGTGTTGGCCATCTTTGCTAAGGGACCTTTGAACCTTTTGTTCTCAAAATAGAAGCAAGCACTAAAAAACATCTTGGAGATTTGTAAGAATGACCTTTGGATTGTTTCTAGACGTGCTATCACCTGAAGACTTGTTCATATTTCAGGCGTGTTTTTCGGCTCTTGCGTAGCCTAAGTCGTGTTTTGAAATGCGATCAGGGTCCCCAAATCCTGCAGGTGCTGTCGGGAAAAGACTGAGAGCTGATCCCAGCTGGATGGGATTCCAGCTGGTGGGTTCGTTGTGCCGGGCTGACTTTACTGTGCAGGCTCTGGGCTTGCTCACGCGGCTATCCATGGTATTTGTTAAAAGGATGGAGGGTCAACCAAGTTCCAGCACTTGTGGAGCAGGGAGCCAAGCAGGAGTGTTCCTGGCTGCTCTCGGAGCTAGCAGCGGCTGCGATCCGTGTCGGAAAGGAACTCGCTCCTTGCGTGGCTGGTGCACGGCACTGAGCTGGTTACTCCCGCTTTCCTTGACCCGGTTGCTGGGAAATCCATTCTCCAAACAAATGTTCCTCCACTGCAGTTCTGTGTCCTTTCCTTCTCATTTGTGTCTCAGATGTGATTGGCAGCCCTCTCCCGTATCCTTGTATTTGCTGTCCATATACTCTTGTTCCCAGTGCTCCTTCCATATCTACTTGCAGCTGAATTCTGGTTCATAAGAAATGTAGTTCTTGACGGTTATTTAGACCACAGCAGTGTTTGTAGTCTCATCTGGCCTGCTGATATTGTTAACAAAAGGAGCGACCATTAGTTAAGACCTGCCAGTGTGTCCTACCTTGCAGCTGCTGCATCCTTTCTAGAGGACCTCAGCAAATAATTTCTACCATTTAGCCACCTTTTAAAAAACAAAATATCCTCAGCCTGGGCAGTTACCCCTGCTGCCAAGATGGCTTGCAAACCACCCATCTCGCACAGCCTGTCGGGGCTGAGTGCTGCCGTGCGCCCGCCAGGGGAACTTCTGCACCTCGTCTTCCTGGAGACTTTGACTCTCTTTTATGGCCAGCAAAGCCGCAGTGCTGCGGGGGGGACATGGCAGAGCTGGACTGAACCCAGAGCCGCCACAAAGAGCGGGAGCCGGGAGGGCGCTGGAGCCTGTGCTGGCCGTGGCAGAGCAGCCTTGTTCTCCCCTACCTCGTGCTTACCTGCACGATGATCAAATCCGTGTTGGAGGCAGGGGCCGTGGCTCTTGCACTCGGAGCTCGGTGGCTCCCGTGCACGGAGAAGGCCCGGCCAGCGCGGAGCATGTCCGTGCGCTTCCCTCTGCCGGCGCGGACGCACTCGGCTCCTCACTGCCGAGAACGGGTCACCTCTCCCGTGTCTGGCTGTGCCGCGAGCGTGGCCAGAGGGCCGGGACGTCCAGGGGGACATGGGGCAGCTGCCCCAGCTGGGCGAACCAGCACCATGTGTGGGATCCGGACCTGCACCTTCCGCACGCTGAGGGCGAGCGAGTCTCCCCTCTCCTCTTCCCTCAGGTCAACGTGATGGCTGTAAGCATCTGCACCCGAGAGGCCTATCAGTCCATGAAAGAGAGAAACATCGACGACGGGCACATCATTAACATTAACAGGTACGTGGGGTCAGCCGTGCGGGCCGCCTGCCCCGAGGGGAGTTCTCATGGAAGCTTTGACCTTTCCGAGTGGCTTATGTGTCCAGAGAGGATTTTTTCAAGGTTTGTGATGGTTCAGATTTTCAAAACTCTTTTGTTTTTCTCCTCTGCTGTTGTAAATACAACGAGGAGCTGCTGCACCTCCCCCTTGTCGGTTCCCTGGCAGATAAACCTGCTCTCTCTGGAGCTCAGCCCCAGCAGAGCAATCCCCACGGAGGGGTTTGAGAGGGGAGTTCCTCACGCAGCCATTCGTCTCAGCCTCTCTTCCTTTCTCTATGTTTGCTACAGCAGCAATAATTAAACATTTTTCATGTTTTGCTGGTTCTTCCCTCGGGCTTTGCTTACCTCCCTCCTCTCAGCACTTTCCTTTCTGCTCTCCCTCCTCAGCATGAACGGCCACAGTGTCGTGCCACAGTCGGTGGTGCATTTCTACAGCGCCACCAAGTACGCGGTCACAGCGCTCACGGAGGGGCTGCGGCAAGAGCTCAGAGAAGCGAAGACCCATATACGAGCTACCGTGAGTACTGCGGGGTTCGCTCCTCCCTGCTGCTTTCGTGGGGCATAGAAAGCTGGCCTGCTCCACCGGGCACAGGTTTTCCTGTGGAAAAGGGTCAAGGGAGCAGCAGCCGGCGGTGCCAGAACCTTTTTGGGGTGTGCGAAGTGGGAGTCGTGTTGGGGAGTGAGGGGAGCAACGGCAGCAGCAGGGAGCAGCCAGCTGGGGCTGTTTGCTCTCCTGCAGACCTTGCATCTCAGAAGTGACATGTCCAGCAGTTAAGTCATAGCGTCAACTTTTCTGTCTTTTTTTTCTGCCTATCCATCCCTTTGCGGCACAAAGAGGAAAGTTCAGTGGGGACTGTCCAGGGAGACCCTCATGGCAGTCATTAAGGCAGAATCTGGTCTTTTAAATTATTCCCTTTGTCAAAATGTCAGGGAGGAAGGAACAGTAGCAAAAGCGGTGGTCTGCTGGCTTTTGCAATGCCAAGAACTTTCCTCCTTTATTTTTTTAAACTGCTTTCCTGAAGGAGAATTACAAATCCTATTAGGATGTGCTCTGCTTTTTTCTAGTGCATATCTCCAGGACTGGTGGAAACAGGATTTGCTTTTAAACTTCATGATAATGACCCAGAGAGAGCTGCTGCCACCTATGAGAGCATTCGGGTAGGACATGGGGAAAAGGAAACCGAGGGAAATGGCTCTGATCACAGTGCAACACTTGCTCTCCTGGTTCATCACGCAAGGAGCCAGTTCTGCAGAGCACCAAGTGCTTTCCAGAATATAGTCAGCATCCTCGCAAAGTCTCAGCACCTCAGCAGAATTGGGCCCATAGGCTCAAACCTCAGATTTTGCACTGATATTTGCACACTATGTAGATTTGTAATCAGAAGCAGTTTCCTACTCTCTCTATGTTTCTCTATATCTAGATCTTCCTGTAAATAAATCAGTCAGCTTTGACCCTTTGCAGGCTCTGGCTTCTCCCTTATTGAAGAGAAGACATAGCAGGCAGTCACAGCTACACGAGGGTGGCTGAGAGGAATTCTGAGAGCGTGTTGCCTTGCAAGTGGCCAGCATGGGGTTTCCCCTGCTTCCCTGGTACTGTTTGATAAGGATGGCAATGTGCACCTGACTGAGTGACTGTGCTGGTAGTTTCTAGCCTGCCTAGCCAGTTTGGGACCAAAACAGCTCTGTTTCTGTCCCCATCCTCACACTGACCCTGTTCTCTGCCGAATGGCTGCTCTTCTGCACGTCCTCTTAGCCTGAGCCTAGATGACACCTGGAAAGTCTCTTCTGAATTATTTGTTTGAGAAATAGCCCAAAGCACTTCCTAGCTGTGCCTCGGTCTCTGCTCCTGGGAAGCCCATCCTGCTCAACACGGCTCTTTCACAGAGAGGCTGTTGGGTTTAGTGAATGGACAGGAGACGTGAGTTTTGCTCCCTGCTCCTCCCTGATGTGCTTGGCAAGCCTTGCTGCTTTCCACTGTGCCTCTGTCTTCCTTCATTTGTCTGGTCTAATATATATTGCAGGCCCTGGAAAAGGGCTACCACCTCCATCTCTCTATTTCTACTGACTAGCACTAGGAGATCTTAGTTTCAGGAGGCACCTCAAAGCCTTTACAATAATATTAGCAGCAAATGCAGAATAATATCACCCATCATCACTTCTGTTAATTTTTCAGTGTGTTGTATTTTTTCCTGCTCACTTTCATCTTTTCTTGAAATGCCCCAGTGAGACTGTCAAAGCTTGTTACTAATGGTTAGGAAAGGACTGATCTTGTGGTTAATATTTCCTGAGGTGGCCTTTAACTGAGACAATTTCCATCCGATCTTTGCAGTGTCTCAAAGCTGAAGATATGGCCAATGCTGTCATCTATGTCCTCAGTGCCCCACCACACGTGCAGGTGAGCTGGGGGGCTCTGGGGACACTGCAGGAGGAGGTGGCTGCAGCGCTCGGGTTTGCTGAGGGCCAGGGTGGGGGTTAGCTGAGATCATGTCTGTTAACCCTTAAGAGCAGCTTTGGGAGCTGCTGGGGCCGCCCTGCTCTGCGCATCCAGGAGAACTCTGCACAGTCGTGGGAATAGAGGGGACGTGGGCACCTTTTACCCTTTTGGATGGTGTCCTGGCTCTGACTGTAGCTGGCTTCTTGCCTTAAAAGAAAAATCTTACTGTGCCAATATGAAGAAACACATGAGCGATGGTTCTGCTTGACCCTCTGTGAGCCAGGGCAAAAGTAAGCCTTGAACCCGAGAGCTTATAACCAGGGCCATCTTGCGCTCTTTTTTTTTTTTTTCTCTGCACATATAAATGCTTTTACCCCTGCTGATAAAGGCAAAACAGTCACGCTTACCTTCATTTCTAATGGCTTGCTACTGTAATGGTGCAACATGTAAGGAACTGCTTTAGCATTTAAAATGTGCTTCAGTGCTCCAGTAAAATCATATGTTCATCTCTTCCAGATTGGAGATATTCAGATGAGGCCCACAGAGCAGATATCATAGCAAACGAAGAGGAATGTGAGCAGCGCTGTGTATCCACTCCACTTCGAACCCTCTGACAATTTAGGGTTTTGGCGGCTAGCAACGTTTAACCAAGTACCAAGGATCATGTTTGAAGAATTATTTTTTCTCTCCCTCTCTCTGAGCTGGTGCTGAGCCAGTTAAAAACTTAGTAGTGGGTATCTTTTCTCACCCAGTCCTTTCTGAAATTGCTTAAGAGTAAAATGTATTTGAAAATAATGCAGGGAAGTGGGTTTATGGAAGATTGTTGACTCTAGGCTGGTATATTCTTCCTTTTGTTTTTTGCTTTTTTTTTTTTTGAGGTTTGTTTAATCTTACTTGATGACACTGTGGTTGAACACAGGTGAAGTGACACAGGCTGTTTGCCAGCTTCAGTGTGTTTTGAGTTTGTCAGTGGATGTCATCCGTGAATCCATCTAATTGGGGGCTGTAGTGCCATCACTTTGATGCTTATTTGGTAATCATGCACAGAATTTTTCTACTTCTTTCATATCCCGATATCCTAAAGCAGGTAAACACCCTCCCTCCCACCCACCAAACTCTCCCATTCACATGAATAGTGCCTGCTAAGTTTGAGGAGGTATAAATGTGTGTGCTTGCTATTTCTGTTTCTTTATCAGTAGATAGGTAGATAGTTGGAGGAGTAAGTACCTGTATTTCTGCAGGTTAGAGAATGATCATCTAAGTGGCATAGTTACAGTATGAGTGAGTCATTTGATATTTTTAATATACAATGTGCTGTCTTGTAATCACCTCTATCCTTGGTATCATGTCCCAGCACTCTTGATGTTTTTGTACGTTTGATATTTGCATGCATTGACACTTTTTGAAAATATTGATCAGTCTTAGAAAGATGTTTGGTGCTGTTTAAATGCTGATGCTGGTGACTAAGGAGTTGGAAATACTGCAAGTTTGTTTATTTGAGAGAAAAACTCAGAGAGAGAGGGAGAGAGAGAGAAGGAGTGAAAGTGAGTGAGTGGAATGAGCCATGCTGAAGCTGTCCAGGATGAATGGATGTCAGTAGGGGCGTTTGCCTGCAAAGCAGCAGGTAAAAGGTCTGGTTCAGACACTAGTCTTGCGCTGTTGCTGTCCCATTGATTTGCTCTAGATTTACTCTGACTCGAAAGAGAAGAGAATCAGCCCCGTGGCTGATACGGGCACAGCTGAGACCGTTTGAGCTGCTGTGTTTGGACTCCCACAGCGTGGCAGATGATGCATCGGCAGGTAGTCCCGCTTGATCCGGAGCTGGGGAGCTCTTAATGTACACCTTGCCTTAAGATTGCAGACTCGCTCCTGCTGTGCTGTGAATTTCCCGTAGCGATTCTGAAGGTGGGCCTGGTGTTTTAGGTGGAGCAGGTACGGCCAGTTGATCCGAGCGGAAGACTGGGAGCCGGAGAAACCTGGTTTTGATCGTTCTGTTTATGGGGTAGCTTTATGGGAGTCCACCTGTGGAACACCACTGTCAGGGAGAGCCCAATCAGGCCACTATGTCATGAGTTTCAACTCCCTACATAGCCTTGGGCAAGTCACTTTACCTCTCTGCCTCAGTTTCCCCATCTGTAAAATGGGGATAATAATACTTACCTACCTCACAGGGGTGTTGTGAGGACTCACAAGCTGTCTGTAAAGCACTTTGACTATGAAAAGCGCTATGTAAGTGCTGAGTGTTGTTATGAAGTATTATTATTAATTAAATCTTGTGATACATAGAATTCCTTGTGCCAAAGGTGAGCATCTGTAGAAGGATACAAGGAGAAAGCTGGTGAAACATTCCTTGATAATGACAAAATAAAACCAGTTTGCCCCTCCATTTTTTTTCTTTATAAATACGTGTTCATGGTGTTTTCTGTCTGTTCCTTGTCTGCCAGCCAGTTCCCACCAGCAAATACATGCAGCCTTGTCTCTGGATTTGGCCTTTTAATTCACCATGAGTGAAATTCCTGCCCTGTGGCTAAGGCTACCACTAATGCACTGGCCCTGCTGCCCCATGCTGAGGCAGTGGCTTTGTGCAGGGCTGGATTTCGCCCACGGCGTCGAGCTCCATCACATCCCACGAGGAAAACCTTGTTGCCACCCTCGGTGCCACCGCAGTGCTCTGTGTGGAGGCATTTGGCTAGGGAAGGCCAAGCACAGCTGTCTTTGCATGTGCTTTTATAGCACCCCTGTGTGGTTCAGCTAGGCTTGATGTGAAAACACCTGGTGTTTTTTTCGTTTCATTTTTCCCCAGGGTTTCTTCTGCAGGAGCTTGTCACTGAAATTTAGCAGGCGCCCTGTGCTGTGTGTGCTCGCTGCCTCTTTAAAAGAAAGTGCTGGAGAAGGTGGCTGAAGTAGGTGTTGAAGGCCAAATTGAGTTGAAAAATACGGATTTTTGAGCAGAAAAAAAGAATGAGCAACGGCTTGGGAAGCACAGGTGGAATGCTGGAGTTGGTGGCGTAACTGTGTGCAAAGTTAAGCAGATGTTGAAATGCACGGCTGAGGCGGGACCCAGTTTTATCTTCCTGCTCTGTAGAAAGAGGCTTTCCAGAAATTGCTTAAGATGTAGGGCCTTGAGCCGAGGCCCGGCAGGGAGGTCACTCACTGCAAATACAACCTGGCTGATGTGCAGCCCTGCTAGCTTTCCCCTCAACAACTTGTAACCTTTGCAAGTCTATAAAATAACCTGTTGTCCTTGAAATTGTACCCAAGGTATTTTTTCCATCTCAAATATGGAGTGTTTTTTTTTTTTTTTTTTTTTTTTTTCCTGCTGTCAGGTAGCTCCCTGCTCTGGCCGCTTTCTCGCAATGCGCGGCCCATGCTGGGGCTCGGACGGGATTAACAGACTCGGAGCCCAGACAGGAGGGCAAACTGTGTAATTTATCAATACGTTTCTAATTGTTATCTGTTAAATAAAGGAATAAAAAGAGACACGCTGTAGTTCTTGACTTGAAAGTAGTTTTGCATTGGAACCTAACAACCCTTTCTTACTGTTTTCAGCTAAACCTTTTGCAACAAGTTTAAACAAATATGTTGTTTTTTGTTTATCAAGGGAAAAACCTTCGCTGTTTCCCAGAGCAGAGCAGCACCCGGCGGTGTCGCAGATAAGGTGGGTTGTTGTCCACGTTCACAGGGCTCATTGCAGCCCCCTGGGCAAGGCTGGCTTGGCCAAACCGTGCAGGCAGGCGACGCTGCTGCTGCACGGACCTGGCCATGGAGCTCCCCTGGTCTCCTGTGCTCGCCTTGGCAGCAAGCCGGGGCTTGGTGTTGGTTCAAAGTGTTTAATTTCCCAGCCAGCTTCCAGGTCGTCCCCGTGCAGCTGGGCGTTCCTCAGGGCAGCTTTGCTGCCGCTGAAATACGAGGGCTTGGCGACCGAGTACCCAGCGGCTGAAGCAGCTGATAAATGTCAGTGCTAGACCTGGAATTTCGGGCATTCTCTGAGGAAGCAGAAGGCGTCTGCAGCATTAAAAGCGTGTTCTTTCCTCCGCTTGTGCCTTACCTCTGTGCTTTAGGTACCGAACGCCATCACGTTCCTTAACGCAGCTCCTCGCGGGGTAATTTTACCTGCCCGGTGTGAGGTGCCCCCGAGGTGGCCTCCCGTTTTGGGGACACCCCCTTGGCATCCGTGGGGACCATGGCGGAGCCGGAGCGGTTCCCCCGCG